CGCCGGTGGGGGGAGGGGCGGCCGCGTGGCGCTTTTGTTGCCGGCGGCAGCCGAAACCAAGACATGGTACCATTTGACTGACACTACATACAAGCAATGAAATTGCAGTGTATATCTTTGTCATAAGTAATTTTAACTGATCAAAATTTTATTTAGTCACTCACAGAGCAGTATGTCTTGCCTCTCATTTAAGTATCTTTACAAAGATGCAAAATAAGATATTTTGTGTCTATATCATTTTGGTCCCTAAAAGTTAAGAGGTTTGCTTGTTTTTGTTTTGCTACTCACATTATAAAGGTTCTGTACACTTGTAGGAGGTAGCCGAGCATTTGCATTTGCCCATGTGATTTGTCTCCCCAGTTTCCCACTGTAGGAGATTCTGGCCTGTTGAGAAGGTGGTGCAGAACAGTTCCTGATCACAACACCAGAATTTGCATTACCTGCAGAAGAAAAAACATGAGAGAAAGTAGGAGGAACATGAGGACACAGAATACACTGACTGAGGCAGGGCCAGAACATAAAAACTGAGCCAGCCCCTGCCACCTCACTTCATCTCACAAACAGAACAAAAATATTCAGAATAAAATTAGAATGTAGTAGCAAACAAAACCAGTTCAAAACGGCATGGGAAAAGACAGCAGCAGTAGAGAAGCAAAGAGAAAACAGAAAGGAACATAGAGTCAAGACTGATGCAGGAAAGAGCCAAAGAGAATATCATACACTCAAAACTCATTCAGCAGTGTTTTGTTCTTATGTCATTTTCCTCCCACGTTTTCACCCTCTCATTCTGCCATGTAAATTCCTCTTATTTCTTTTTCCCCCACTCAATCTCTTTTCTTCTTTCTTCCCCACAATAATGCCTCACAGTGGATTACATTCTACTTTAGGAGGGTAATACCTACTTTGCACAGCAGTGTGTGTTATGGGATTGTATATCACATTGATCTTTGATCTGTGACATGAAGTTCTTGCTAAATCTTCCCTCTGCCTGGATACTTCTGGCTGGACACTAGTTGTAGTTCCAGCACACACATGCGAAGTTTTTAGAAGAGGTGATGTTGGTTCTCTCTGGCCTTTCCTGGTAGGTAAAGTCACTGAACTGGAATTTGGAAGAAGTGGCCTGGATTCAGACTGACTTAGTTGAATGTCTTCTCTCCGCACTTGCTCCTTTGGATGGCTATTTAATTTCTTTTCAAGTATCATCTACAGAAAGGAGAAGTTAGTTAGACTTAACACAGCTACACAGCAGAGCAGAGGAACAAAACATAGAGAGAAAGACTTACAAATAACTGCAATTTATTTCACAAAATAGGTAACAAGTATAATTTGAAAGTTATTTTAGGGTTGGAAAGAAGATAGAACTAATATTCTCGGTGCAAAGAAAGAATAGGCTGAAGCATTAAGAAAAAGGATTGGGTGAACAGGCAATTTCAATATATCCTGAGGGAGAACACCACTAAATAAAATGGGCATCAGCTTTAGAAAAGACAGAATCTATATGCCCAAAAGGTTAACACTATGTTGTTTCTTACCATCCCTTTCTAGAACTTTGCAAAGCTGATTTCTTAATGGTCAAAGAAACATTCATTCTGGTTAGTTCATAATTATTCTTGCCTACCTCTACACGCTATTATCTAGCAACAGAATCCTTGCCAAGGTTTTTGGTCTTGCTGCAGACAATCTGCTCTCAACTTCCTGTAATCACAGTTTTCTCAAATTTGACACCCTATCAGTAAGATTATTCAAACTTATTCACTTGTTTCTTAGCCTTGCACCAGGATTATCTGTGACCAATCTATTGACATTTAGAATATCTTTTCTACCTGTGCTCAGTATTCATTTTACTAATTCATCTGCTCATGACTCCTAGCACTCTATCACAGTAGAGTTTATTAGTTTCCTTCTCTTAAAAACCTTAAAACACATTTTAAGTAGCGTCAACTTCTAAAACTAAATTTTATTTTTTCTTTCTTCAATTTTAATTACTGTTAATAGAAGCAATAACAATGGACACCCTTATGTCTCTTTCCCAGTCTTGGGTTTTCTGATCTCTAAGCTTTCTTTTCAATCTTCTTTTCCCACTATCATTCTTTCAAATGCCTTTTTTACTACATTTACATTCCAGCTCCTGCACTTCTCACCATTTTCCAGTCCCTCTGCCTCATAACATGGCATTTACATTATTTCTTTCACTGTAAAAAGGGACACCCCCACTGCCCCCCCCAAACTACACCAAAACCCATTTCTCCTCCTGAAAGCTTGATCTACTTCCACTTTTGCTGCTCCTCATAATTCATTGTTAGAGCATTCACTCTCGCTATCCTCTCCCTACTGCTTCAACATCATCATCCAGATCTGTTCAATGTCTCTTACAATTAGTTCGGAGTTGTGTTTATCTCTCTTCTTCTTTCACTTCTTTAGACATTACTCAAATGTTCACAGAATCAACAAATGGTTTGGTTTGGAAGGGACCTTACAAATCATTTCATTCCAACTCCCCCTGCCATGGGTAGCAACACCTTCCACTAGATCAGGTGCTCAAAGCCCCATCCAGCCTGACCTTGAACACTTCCATGATGGGGCATCCACAACTCTGGGCAACCTGGTCCAGTGTACCACCACCCCCATCGTAAAAAAATTCTTCCTTATGTCTAATCTAAACCTACCCTCTTTCAGTTTTAATTGCCCCTGATTCTGTCACTACATGCCTTGGTAAAATGTCTCTCTTCATCTTTCTTGTAGGCCCCCTTTAAGAATTGAAAGGCCACACTAACGTCTCCCTGAAGCCTTCTCTTCTCCAGGCTGAACAGCCCCAACTTGCTCAGCCTTTATTCGTAACAGACACGTCCCAGCTCTCAGACCATTTTCTTGGCCCTCCTCTGGACCTGCCCTAATTGGTCCATGTCTCTCTTGTACTGGGGACTCCAGAGCTGGATACAGGGCTGCAGGTGGGGTCTTACGAGAGCAGAGTAGAGGGGCAGTTTCACCTCACTTGGCCTGCTGGGCATGCTTCTTTCAATGCAGCCTAGAATATGCTTGGCTTTAAAATCATAGAATGGTCTGGAAGGGACCTTTAAAGGTCATCTAGTCCAACCTCCCCTGAAGTAAGCAGGGACATCTTCAACTCGATCAGGCTGCTCAGAGCCCCATCCAACCTGGCTTTGAATGTTTCCAGGGATGGGGCATCTACCACCTCTCCGGGCAACCTCTCGGATTGAGAGCACTGTGAGCGAGGGAATGGAGGTTGGCTACAGGACCTGGAAAGTCCAGGCCAGCTGTTTGTCTGCATAGTCTTTACCAGCAACTGGAGTAGGGCTGCAGCCATGGGAGCTTGTATACCCAAGTGCCAGCAGCTGAGGAGACTGGGACCCAGAGGCCAGCTCCTGAGCAGACTTAGTGTCAGAGATCAACTGCTGCAGGGATCCACCTTGTATATATGTTCTCACAAGTGGACTTCCATCTTCCTCAGCCAGACAAGGGAGCAGGATGAGACTGTTCATGCTGTCTATGTTTGTATGAGGGCTCCGAGTGCCTGTTTATGATCCATGTATACATGTACATATGTAGTGTGTGTGTATGACAAAGTGACCTACTTAGTGGATGAGGGAAAGGCTGTGAATGTTGTCTACCTAGAGTTTAGAAAAGCCTTTGACACCATTTCCCACAGCATCCTCCTGGAGAAAGTGGCTGCTCAGGGCTTGGACAGGTGTACTCTTCGCAGGGTGAAAAAATGGCTGGATGGCTGGGCCCAAGGAGTTGTGGTGAATGGAGTTAAATCCAGTTGGTGGCCAGTAACAAGTGGTGTTCCCCAGGGCTCAGTAGTGGGGCCAGTTCTGTTTAATATCTTTGTCAATGATCTGGACAAAGGAATCGAGTGCACCCTCCGTAAGTTTGCAGATGACACCAAGCTGGAGGGGAGTGTTGATCTGCTTGAGGTTAGGAAGGGTCTACAGAGGGATCGGGACAGGCTGGATCGATGTGCCAAGGCTACTTGTGTAAGGTGCAACAATGCCAGGTGCCGGGTCCTGCACTTGTGTCACAACAACCCCATGCAATGCTACAGGCTTGGGGAAGAGTGGCTGGAAAGCTGCCTGGGGGAAAAGGACCTGGGGGTGTTGGTTGATAGCCATCTAAATATGAGGCAGCAGTATGCCCAGGTGGCCAAGAAGGCCAGCGGCATCCTGGCTTGTATCAGGAGCAGTGTGGCCAGCAGGAGTAGGGAAGTGATCATCCTCCTGTACTCGGCACTGGTGAGGCCGCACCTCGAGTACTCTGTTCAGTTTTGGGCCCCTCACTACAAGGAAGGACACTGAAGATGCTGGAGCGTGTCCAAAGAAGGGCAAAGCTGGTGAAAGCTCTAGAGCACAAGTCTTATAAGGAATGGCTGAGGGAAGTGGGGTTGTTTAGCTTGGAGAAAAGGAGGTTGAGGGGTGACCTCATCACTCTCTACAGCTACTTGAAAGGAGGTTGTAGCAAGGTGGGAGTCAGTCTCTGTTCCCCAAGTAGGAAGTGATAGGACGAGAGGAAACAGCCTGAAGTTATGCCAGGGGAGGTTTAGGTCGGATATTAGGGAAAATGTCTTCATCAAAAGGGTCATCAAGCACTGGAACAGGCTACCCAGGAAAGTGGTTGAGTCAGCATCCCCGGAGGTATTTAAAAGACATGTAGCTGTGGCACTTAGGGACATGGTTTAGTGATGGATTTTACAGCATTAGGTTAACGGTTGGACTCGATCTTAAAAGTCTTTTCCAGCCTAAACAAGTCTATGATTCTATGTGTTTTCTGTGTGTGTATGCCTACTGAGAACACATCTTCAGCTTTGCTACTGGCTGGACCTGGAGACACGGAGTGGCAGCAGCCTTGCCTCTCTTGGACTGTTGGATCCAGCATAATATATTTTCCTCTTACAGAGTCTTTCTCATACATCATGCCTTACAGATTTTTCCCAGAGGAAATCTAGATTTAAAGACCCCTCAAAAATTATGACAGCATGGAACTGACTGATAAGAAACACTAAGATGTAACTATATGCATGTATAGAATGCCTAGGGGAACGCAAATAGAAGAAAATGACAGAATTAAGTGTGTACAAAAATTGCAGGTTACCTGGGGGGTAAGGATTTTGGAAAATAGGATAAGAGAAAATACCTCATATAACTTATTTCTATATTCTGCCACAGACAGCTGGATTTCATCACCTAAAGGAAGAATCACATCATATTCCAGAGAGGGCTCCCTGGCAGGACAGTGAAACCTAGGAGATTATAACACATAATGTAATTAACTAAGACTAAAAACAACATTGCAGATTAATATAATATTAAAAAGGATCGTTAAATCATCTAGCGTGACCTCTAGTGTAAATAGAGTTAGAGAAAATTAAGAATTAGCTTTGTCTTTTTTTTTTCTGTCATTCATATAAAGAAATCTTGTGCCAACGGCAGGTCTGTAACATCTCAGAAGACATCGGGGGAAACTGTACATTTGTTTCACTCTCACCTTTTCACATAAGGATGCTGCAGAGCCTCCTCTGCTGTGAGTCGTTTATCAGGGTTAAATACTAAAAGTTTCTTCAGAAGATCCAAGGCAGGCAATGGAGTAGAGGATGGTAAAATCTCCTCAAATGTTACTCGCTGCCTAGAAATCAGAAAACAACAATATAAGCTCCAGTGTCTAATTCACAGTGAAGGCATGAATTACAGTTCTGGGAATCACATCAAGGTGACACCCAGCTCCAGAGTTCACTCCCAAATACTGTGTCATAATCCTGGAACACTCTAAAGCATAGGCTTGTAAGTATGATAAATTCTTTTACTCCTTTGATTAGGTTTGAATGTGTCCCTCCTCGCACTATCAGACACAGGGGAATAATGAGTCCTCTGGATAAGGAGTTCTTCTTTTGTTCTTTTGACAATGCAGGAAGCCCAAACTCCTAACTTGGATGTTTCAGTTGAACTGTTAAAGATCCCACGAATCCAGCTCTTAGACCACAGAAATATATTTCTGTATCATTTGCAATGAGAAGATGAAGTTTAAAAATCTGTTGCTGCATTTTGAAATCCTAATTATTAACACAATGAACATAATATCTAATACATTTGAAAAATCATTTTAAAACATGATTCTTACATTTGAAATAGTTTTGTTACTCCATGACAACATCTTTTAGTTTACAAAAATGATCCATCACTGAACATAGTATTTGGACCGAATGGCTCAGAAAAATTTTTTTTCAGTTTTAGACTATGATTTCACTTGCTCTTTTACCTAGCTGGAGCCATCTATCAGAACTTAGCCACTCGACTTTCACATTTTTTTGTGGGGCGAAGAAGGCAACATCCAAAGAGTAGGGCTGTCAAATAAAAGTGCATTTCAGCCAGGAATGAATGGAGAGTTTCAACTGCTGTCTTCCACTACTCAGAGAAGGGTTATAGAAATGAGAGCACTCTTCTCAGAGGTCCTGTGGTGGGCTGACCCTGGCTGGCAGCTAAGCCTCCACCCACTTGCTTGCTCACTCCCTGCCCTGCTGCTGCTCTTTGACATGCAGGAACCCTGCAAGAGAAGGATTTGATAAGCAGCTGGGCAAGCTAGATTGCTGTTTATACCTCTCTGTATCTGTACCAAAAGCCCATTGGTACCCTTTTGGGCCCCTGAAGTAGCCTGTCCTGATGTAGCCCATGCCAATGATGCACAGAGCCACCAAGTCAGTCACAACAGGATGCTTTTACCACTTATTGCTTGTTAGAGTGACTTCAGCCCCCAACATAAGATTTGGGATCATCCTGTCACTCCAGATATCCCAGTGGGTTCCATCCCCTTGTATCTTGATGGCGTTAGGGTCACTGTGCACTGGTGTCCGGCAGAAACTTATACTCCTGTGTGTCCAATGTCCCAGACTATTGAATCCATACAGTAAACCTGGTTATGCCTTTCCTCTGCCTGGCTGGAGGCATGGCCCTTCTGTTCCTGGTCAGAGCATTCATTACCCAACTCCTGTAATTGCAAAGCAAGATCAGAAGTAGGATCAATCCTTCCACGGTGTCTGGGGAATTGCTCAACAGCAACTGGAGCAGTCATCTTCCTGAACGTACCCTTTTTGGCTTCTGTTTTTCCTTGCAATTCACATACACAAGTTTCTAGGCTTGAGATAGATGCACCTTCCCACTTCCATATGTCCTCCCCATGGTCATGCAGATACAACCACAGGGTGCCATGTACGGTTCCCTTCCCTTTGAACAGAGAAAGGCTGCCTCCATGTGACAATTGGTAGCTAAGATGCTGACCCATATAGGTGAGGAGTAAAACATACTCTCTTCGAATTTGCTGGAGCTTTTGGGACAGCTCTTCTGCAGCTGAGACACAGGACCATAGGCTTGGGGAGGTAGAGAGATTCTCTTTGTATTGCCAGAGCTGGTCAGCCAGTCTGTCCACAGTAGGTGCCTCAATGTCTGTACAATTATTGTCAGGGAGGTGACATACAATGTTGGTGTGCTCTGTACAAATTTTGACCCTGTGCACTGGACTTCACCTGGATATATGGAGCCCTGGTTATTGCCCAGGTTGCTTTAGGTCACCTCCACCACCAATTCCCTAATGCTGGATATCTCCCTCAGTGGTGGTCCACTTGCCTCAGTAGTTTACAAGATCTTCCTTGAGGGGATACGCTGCCTTCATGCTGGACAGAAGTCACCTCCAGAAGCTGCAGATTGTTGCCCCTCTTCCAATCCATTTATCAGTTCCCTGATCCTTAATGAGAGATCCTAGTTGCTGGGCTTTCTTACCCTCTAATTCCTGACTCAGCACTGGCCCCAGTATCCTAGCACCAGAGCAACCAACTGATAATTTGCTTACCTAGATGACAGCTGTAATCTTTCCACATATCTTGCGGCTTGTTTAGGGATAGGGACTGTGTGGTTTCTGCACTCGTTCATGATTTCTGTCTCTTCCCTCTCTTGTTCTTGTGGCTGTTCTGTGGCAGAACAGGCTGCCTCTTCTGTTTCTTCCTCCTGCTCCCTCTTAGAAGCTTCTTTCCCCCTTACTAACCAAGTTGACTTCCTCTTCCGCTATTTAGGAGCAACTGTTATTGTTGAGGGTTGTGTCTCTGACTTAGCCACAGTGTCCATTTGTATGTCCTCAGATCCAGAGACCCTTTCACCCTGCCGAGATCGCTGTAGGCCAGGCCCTGGCACAGTGTGAGAAGTTGTGTCTCTTTGGTATACACACAGAATCCTACTTCAAGTGTTTTATCACTTCAGTAGGATGCCACCCTTGTACAGGTGTGAAGTCCCACACCACTGGACATGAAAATTGCTCCAGGTACCTGCCCAAATTCTCCTATGCAACTTGTGACCCACGACCCAACTACCTCAGGGCACATCCCCATGCGGCATTCACAAAGGTTATCCTTAGGAAAAGCCAGAATCAGATTCTTGACATATACCAATGAGCATTCTAGTTACCCAAGGATGTTGAAGAAACTGAAGAGTTGTTGTAACAAGGCAGAAAAAAAAATCTACCCAAGGAGAGAGAGGAAAGGGGAGGTGCCATTCTTCATTTCCTCTACAAATTTGCTCTTGGATGAGAAGAGGAAAAATTGTTAATTGTCTCCATGAGATGGTTCCCAAAGTACTGGGACAGAACCAGTGCAGGGCCTAAACACCAGATTAGGCTCAAGGCCATTGCTTTTATCATAACTCTCCCAGGCAAAACACAAAAGTGCTCAACAGCACAGCAAACTGCAAAAGCTGAAAGCAGCCATTAACAAGCCCTCAAGTTTGATTAACAGCAAAAGTGGGAGCATGCCATGGAACAGGTAAAGGAACAAATAAACTAGAGAACAACTACATCAATATTATGACTGGCAACAGCTAAACAAGTGTAACTACTATAAATTCCTGTCTAGTACACACCAATCAAATCTATTGTGATGTCGAACCCCTCTGGCCCCATGTTGGGTGCCAAGAAGGACTCTGGTGAGTTGACCCTGGCTGACAGCTAAGACTCCATCCAGTCACTCACTCTCTCCCCCTCAGCAGGATGGGGGAGAGAACTGGAAGGGCAAAAGCAAGAAAACCTCATGGGTCAAGATAAAGGCAATTCAATAAGTGGAGGGGAAAAAAAGGGAAAAATGGAAAAAAAAAAACAAGCTGTGCAAAAGCAATCACTTACCAGCAGACTGATACTCAGCCAGCGTCTGAGCAACAGCTACTTCGGAGAAATTCCTCCCCACTCATTTTACTGCTGAGCATGAGACTATATTGTATAGGATATCTCCTTGGTCAGAAGGGTCAGCTGTCCCAGCTGTGTCCCCTCCCAGTCTCTTGCCAACCCTTAGCCTACTTGCTGTGGGGGCAGAGCGAGAGACGGCCTCGATGGCTGCTATGCAAGCATTGTTAAGCAACGGCTGAAACACTGCTGTGTTATTAACACTGTTTTGGTCACAAATATAAAACACTACAGCATACGAGCTGCTGTGAAGAAAATTAACTCCATTCCAATCAAACTCAGTAGAGGTGCACAGCAAAAGGATGAGAAGCAACATTCCCAAGTTGCATCAAGGGAAATTCCTATGGGATACTGTGGCCATCCACTTCCCCCTGGCAAGGTCAAACACACATGCTGTGCTGACAGTTGAATCAGCACGGACAAAAAGGTCTCAGTTCCTCAATTACCTGGCATAGATCGATACAGGAATCCTAGCATCCCTGCATGAAAGAGAATAATGCTCCAGGTTGCAACTGAAGAAGTCAGCAAAAGTCAGCATGAAAATACACATGGTGTTCATGTGAACAGCAAGTGACCTGCCAGAGCTTATGGTTTGAGCCACCCTAACTGAAACCTATAAAAACATATCAGTAAGCACTCAGAGAACTCATATCACACATAGCTGGGCTATGCGTATTGCAGATTCCTCAATGAAAAGCGATGCCCACCATGATGACATATGAGTAGAGAATACATAGAGACTAACGAATAAATTGCTATGGCCATAAGATAGTGTAAGAGCATTAAGTTTACTAATGTTTACTAATTAGGTTATGTAATAAACACAGAGTTATGTGGTAGTCTGTGTACATAACTGGAGGATCCAAAAGAACCATGACAGACATAAGGGGAAAAAACCCCCAAACCCACAGTAAGAGTCGTTAAGTAGCTGGAATGAGGCTGTCAGGCTTTCCACATGTGAACCAATGACATCAGATATCCACATGAGTCAGGATAGGAAAATATTCTAATTTTGAGAAAGTACAGATGACAATACCTTAGAATGTAGGCCAAACCTCATTTTGTTTTGTTATTCTCAGATTATGTCATTGGTCTTCTCAGATAGACTTTTTTTAAAAAAAAAAAAAATTTACACCCCTTCCCTAGAAGTAGGTGAATCTGCAGAGAGCAGATATCATTTCCACTGGTGAACACTGGAAGGTGAACTTTAGGGGAACTTTTTATCAACACCATACAGCAGATTGTTGACTTCTGAGACACACTGAACATACAAGGCTTACCCGGAACTCATGTGGTTAATAACTGAGGCCCTGTAATCTGATTGCACAGCCAAAATATCTGCAATAATGAAAAGATACCGTTAATGCCAAGATTAGGATGACCAGAGCTACGCAGTTCATACAAAATTATCCTAATAAAATTCAGTGGGAGATCTTATGGAAGGGGGATGGAGTATTTGTTTACAAAACTTCTGATTTTCTCAATTCCTACTGATTCGATCACAGATTTCATAAACTTGCACTCTTATACCCACAAACGCAGAAGCATCAAGATATCTGCGGCCAAATGATCTGGCCAGGATCACTTGTATGGGACACAGAGAACAAGGGATACCAGCTATTGATTTCCTCATCACATCCACTGGGATTCTTTTTGATTGGTGACAATGAACTGTTTTCTAAATATATCTGTCATACTCTCAAAGAGTCAACAGTTGCTCTGGAATGTTTTTTTTGCTTCAGAATCTTGCTGCTTTGGTCCCCATAAATCCTAGGTAAAGTTGCTGCTCATCGGCTGGCTTTCCCTGTTTGCAGTTATGTTTTGACCAAGTGTCTCTTTTCACTTGCTTGGGTAAAAGAAAAAGAAATTGTGCCTGTGACATGCTGCAACCTTGCAGCCATTGTCCTGTGGTGAGGATATAGGACCTCCTGCCAATGAGTCATTTGTCCTGTGGTCTTGTATTAGAGTGCAGACCTTCTGGTTATGATATTATCAACACATTCCTCAACCGTATTCCTGAGAATGGAATAGTATTTTTTGTTATTACTGCTGCCTATTCTTCTAACTCCTGTTTTCGTGTTCACACACACATTTCCATTCACATTTCATTCACAGCAACCAAATCTCCAATAAAAACTATAAATAACTTTAAGTTGGGATGGAATTCTCCAAAATGGTGATGTCCTTAAACTGAAGGTAATTATTTTTCTAAAAACTATTTGCTAGCTCAGTTGGAAGACATCAACATGTTGTAAAAGTTTATGAAGTGTATGGACTTGTTAGACTGGAACTCATAGAAGACAATCATAATAATAATAATCCTTAAAATTATCCTAAAACATATATTTCCTCCAGCTTTCACTTCTATGTTTAGATTTCCAGACCAAAAGTCCAATTTACCTTTACTATGCAAGTCCCACTGAAGTATGATACTCTGTTTTAAACCATCACTCCCTTATAAATCTCAAAAATGTTTTGAAGGCCTGGTTCTTGTTTCACATCTAATCAAGTACGGGCTTATTTTCCTCTAAAACTGACATCTCACAATTAAGTCTTTAATTTCCTTGGAAAGATGTAGAATGACTCACAAAAGATACCTTCTTCCCTGATCCAGCAGGTCTGCTTTCTTTCACTCTTTCAGTCTCTTCTCTAAATACCTTTCCCCACAGAAGAGTCTTACCTTCTGGGGATGGGGCAGGAATGACCCTCAAGATCTGCTCTATTTGATTCATTGTTGATGTTCCAGGAAAAAGAGGTTTCCCAAGTAGCAGTTCTCCTAGAATACAGCCGATGCTCCACATGTCTACACCTTTAGTGTAACTACAAACAACAGAACAGAGTTAAGACTAAACCAGGGAAACATTTTTCTGTACCTGGTATTCACAAAACCTACATTAGCTTATTTTGCTAGAAAAACAAGCCTGATGACTCACTCACAGGTTATAAACTATAAAGTGAATGAGATTCAAGAATCAAAACTGGCAAGCATAAACAGAAAGAAGATTTATCCTACTAAAAGTCTATTCTAGGAAACCATAAAAGGAAATATAATAAAGATAAATGCCAGGACAAGGTAATGCATACTTTTCGTGTGACCAACAGTGAAGATACAAGCTGCTGTTTGGAAACAACTCACTTTTCAGGACATAATGTATCTAGAAAGTAGTTACAGTTACTTCAGCAAAGTAAATGCCAAACAATGGGTAAATGACAGTTTGCAAAACATCCACATTTCAAATTTGGGACACTAACCCAGCCTATATTTATTTTTTTTCTGATTAATAAGATTTTGTATATTTCAGTCAAAAAAACGACTAAGCCTGGCTAACAGGCAGCTGATTTAACATTCGATTATAGAATATTTTGTGAAGGTCTATCAAAAAACTGCCCTTAAATTTGGAAAAGACGACTAAGATACGCCACCAAATTTTGTAAGGTGCAGATTTCAGGGGTGAAAGAATAAGTCTAGTGGGAGAAAGGATGACAAACAGATGAGCTGATAACGTATGTAAAATAGACAATCTAAGATGCCAGGAAGGAAAGGTACATGTAATGAGAGATTTTTATGTTGCAGAACTAAAGTTTGAATGCATATTGCAAAAAAGGACTGCTGACATAGCATTGCATCTGGTGACATCTAAAATAAAAAGATTTAAGACTTCTAGACAACAAATTTTCCCAGTAGTGAAGAAACCCCTTCGCTCATATTAAGCAGTTACCTCTGAGAGGAAAGTAAGATCTCGGGGGCTCGGTACCAGCGTGTTGCCACATATTCTGTTAGAGCAGGGTTGCCTTGGTCCTCATTCATCTGACATAAAGAACGGGCCAGCCCAAAATCACAAAGTTTAACAAAGCAGTCTTCATCCAGCAAGATATTTGAAGGCTGAATTGAACAAAAGGAAAATTAATAAGCTTTTTACTCTCTGAGTGGCAGAAGATTATTATCAAGATTCTTTTAACAGTCTCATTCTTTTCACACTTTTGCATTCAGTGTTTAACAGAAAACTTGAGTGAAGGATAGACTATGACTGAAACATACCTTTTGATCTCTGTGAATGACATTTCCTGAGTGGATGAATTTAGTTGCCTTCAGGATTTGGTAGAGAATGTAACATTTGTGGATATCTTTCAGCAAATTCCCTTTCTTAATCACAGCATGTAAATCTGTCTCTGTAATATATTACATCAGTAATATATTTACATCAATATTACCAAGTTGTGAATACAAGTTCCTCAAAGCTAAGGCCAGAATAGACCATTGTCCAGACTGTAATCTTTTCAAGGGCATCCTCAACAGAAGTTAATACTGTAATTACTAATAGTACTGCAATCTCTGTATTATCAGTTTGACTTGCAGCTCATGCTACAGTAACTGTTCTATTATTGCATACTTTTGTTAAAATAAAATTGCACATAGTCTCTTCCATATGCAACTCTTCTGTCTCTACAAGCCTTCTAATTTGTTGCTCGCTGCTGTCTTTCCTTCATATCAACCAGCCAGTTCTCATGTAATTATTACTCCCTTTAAAGTTTCACTGCTACTCTCATCTAATCACAAACAATACAGGTAAAAAAAAAAAACAAAACCTGTACTGTTCCTACTTATATGTCTACTTAGATGAATATTCATGTAAATCATCAACATGCTACTATCAAAGTAGGGAACAAAGATAACTCATAAGAAAGGCTGTATTTAAATGGCTGATGCAATGTTAAGTCTCACCCATGGACTCAAAGATGAGGTAGATGTCCTTGTCATTCTGAGCTTGGATAACATCAAGCAGCTTGATGATATTTGGATGTTCTCCAAATTCCTGCAGAGGAAAGAGACCCAACTGTCAAAATCAAGTGTCTTGCTTGTGAATCATAAAAAAGGACAATAACCTATTTCATTTTGTATTATTGTCTAGAAGAAATGTTAACATGCTACTTCCTTCATTATGCTTCTACTGAAATAAATTTTAAAAAAGCATTTGAGCTTATAATCTCTGTTGTCCGAGACATTAGTTCTAAAAATCTCTCTATACCTTTTGTGAACAAAATCCAGTCAACTTTATGCACCTCATATTTCCTACTGAAGGCAAAGAACTATTGTGGCAGTGAAAACAGAACAAAGTTGCCATCAACACACTTCTTCAAAAAACTCAGCCAACCAGAAAGTGTCTATCTGAGGTAGGCTGAAACACTCTATGGGCTGCATTAATTGAACTGACTGTAACAGGAGATCAGACAGTCAGCATACAGTGAGATACCTAAACACAGATATCTTACACTGGAGGTGAACTCTATCCTCAAATTTGTAGACTGACAATACTGTCAAGATCATTTACTTCATCCTCAGTCTTAACCACCTTTATTTCCTATAGCTAACACTTCTCCGCAGCTAAACACACTGTGAACACTTCAAAATATACCAACATTTTAATGAACTACCCTGAGTATAAAATACCTGCACCATAAAACCTGTGCTTGTATCTAAAACACATATTTTTTTTGTTATTTGAACCAGTAATACAGACTCTTTATCTATTTCCATCACAAATTCAGTTACAAACAGTATCAAAAATCATAATATTAAGCTATCTCTAGCATAGTCTTACAACAGCATCATCTTCCTAGACTCTGAGGCCAAGACAAAAATTGGTTGTAACGTATAGTATCTAGAAAAATTCACAAACCAACACACTCACCTACAGCAACCCATGAAAATACACTTACAAAGCACTAATATACAGCCAGGCCATCAAATAGCCTTGCATTTATTCTGAGGACAGAATTCAGAATACCCATCCACACAAACTAAAGAAAATTTTTACACAGAAGGGGTATTTTTCTAGAGATGCAGATCAGTCTTGACAGTGTTACTTGAGCACTGTTTAAGAACTTCACACTGAAGGAAAAACCCATTGTCTCACACTGTCTTGCCCTGGAACTGATAACAGAAAGTTATGAAAAAATTTTAATCTATACTAAAAAAATCCTACCTTGAAAAACTTCTTGTCAGAGCTAGCCCTACTTATTTCTGCTTAAAGAACAATGCTCTCACTAAAGTAATTATCAAAAATTACATTCTAAAATGTGGCCTCAAAATGCACCAAACAGATCCATAACTATACTGAACAATAAACCTAAAACCTGCAAATAACATAATGACCAGCTTACTACCTATCACCCAGAAGAGAATCATCAAAATGCCCAGATTCTACCTCAACACTTCTCAGCTGCAATGAACTGCATCCAGTCCATCAAATGCCCTTATGATAAACATACAGATGAAACTAAGCAACCGTTATGCACAGGGAGAAATTTGCACAGACAAGCAAAGTAAGACAAACATCCAGTTACCAATGAACGAATATTTCTTACGTCTTTCCCTTTCTAATCTCTCAGTCCCAAACCTCAAGAAAGAGCCATAAAATTGCTTCAAAAATAGGAGGGGAAAACTAAAATTCTTAAGTCTATTCAGCACCAAAAGTCATGAAAGTAAGGGCTTAATGGCACATTAACCTCCTTCCCACAAAATGACTCGTACTTTCCTTCAGGAGAAATAGCCTTTATTTTTTTTCTTTTCTCAACTCCTCCTCCACCCATATACCCCAGAAGTGCTATACTTTCAGAGATGATCTAACTTAGAGGTAAATAACTTCTAAGAAATTTTTCTCATATGTTTTTAGCTCTTAAGTTTGCGGCTGCTATTTCAGGCTTAAAGAATCATCAAAAAGTAAAAACCTCGTTTCTTTCCTACTTAAACTTGACAGTCTTAGGAAATACCTTTTCCTGTGAGCCCTGCCTTGCTTGTGTCCTTAGAAAATGATAGTTATAACATTATGACTATTCAAAAATATTGATGTTTCTACATGGTAAGTCTGTGGAGGAATGGACAGATAATTTTAATGCCACTGCCGCTGATAAGATAATTAGGCGTAGTGTGTGGTCAATTATAGCAAAATGAAAGCAGCCTAAATCAATTCCATACAGAACTTCCCTTTCAGTTTTGCTTTGATTATTTCAAGTACTCAAGTTGCTTCCCACGTGACAGAGGAAAAAAATTTTGGCCTGTAAATCTCTTCCACACCCCAGCCCCACCTCTGAATCGTGGCATTTAAAATTTAAGAAAAACATTCTGTCCACAAAGAAGAAGTGACAGAAAGTGCAAGTCAATATGGTGATCCTAGAGTAGACATACTGCTAAAAATGGTGAAAGAACAGGGCATGTCTCAAAGAAAAAAATAAGATCAACACTACATTTCATTCAGGTGTTTTTTTCAGTCAGGGAAAGACTGTTTGCCAAGATGGTGCAGAAAATAAATTAATAGAGTTGTCAACACTGATTATTGCATTTTGAAAAAGAATGGGAGGAAAATATGTGAACAACATGAGAGATAATTAAAAAACAGAGGTGGGGGAAAAATGGACATTACCTGCAGGAACATAATCTCTCGAAATGTTCTCTAGAAATAAACAAAAAAGAAGTTTATTATCACCTCAACAGAATGACAGAACAGAGTATGAACTTCCAATGAGAGGGTTAAACCCATCTAATCTCTAAAGCAGAGGAAACCCTTATATGGTAGGCAGGCTAGGAAAAACCCAGTTGTTCACTGGAGAGTCACAAGTGTTCTCTCTGTGCTTAGACACTATAGCATAACAACACAAGAGAGAATCAAATTGTGCGTGCCTATGAAGACACTTTTTCTTCAGGGACATTGAACAGTATTTTGTAGATGCCATGATATACAAAGCTTGACATTTATTGCTCATTTTTATCCTAATATAGCTATGGAATGTATTATTACATGCATAATTGTCAAATAACTAGCATCTTTCAGAGACATAAATCCTGAAAATATCTATGAATTCCCACCACGTCTTTCTGGACATGTTAGAACAATGACTTCTCACCTGAGCATCTGTTCTGTTCCTGAAAGCATCAAAAATCTTTTTAACGGCAACTATTTCTCCTGTCCTGCGATCGATTGCTTTCCATACAATGCCATAAGCCTAGGGAGAAAAAACGACACATGAACTATCACATCCTAAGCACAGTTCAGACCTTCAACATGGAAGTAGAATGCACTCAACAGAGGGATCAAAAGAAGAGGTAAACAACAGCTAGCTAGAAGAAAGAGAGATTGGGCCAATGAGCAATCAGCAATACTTGGTTGAGTCAAGGACTAAGAACATCTACACTGAGTCCGACGAAAGGTCCCAAAGGTCAAGCATCCTGGCCCCCAAAGCAGCAAATAGCAGATGTACATAGTGATGAAGTTCAGCAAGGCCAAGTGCAAGGTCCTGCACCTGAGTTGGGTCAATCCCCAGCATCAGTACACACTGGGGGAGGAATGCATTGAGAGCAGCCCTGCGGAGGACTTGGGGATACTGGTGGATGAAAAATTGGGTATGAGCCAGCAACGTGTGCTGGCAGCCCAGCAAGCCAAGCATATCCTGGGCTGCACTGAAAGAAGCGTGGCCAGCAGGCTGAGGGAGGTGATTCTGCCCCTCTACGTCGCTCTCATAAGACCCCACCTGCAGCCCTGTGTCCAGCTCTGGGGTCCCCAGTACAAGAAAGGCATGGACCAGTTACAGCAGGTCCAGAGGAGGGCCAAGAAAATGGTTTGAGGGCTGCAACACTTCTCCTATGAGGAAAGGCTGAGTGAGTTGGGGTTGTTCAGCCCGGAGAAGAAAAGGCTCCAGGGAGATGTTATTGCAGCCTTTCAATACTTAAAGAGGGCCTATAAGAAAGAGACATTTTACCAAGGCCTGTAGTGACAGTATCAGAATCATTTAGGTTGCAAATGACCTTTAAAATCATCGAGTCCAACCGTTAACCTTACATTGCCAAGTCCACCTCTAAACCATGTCCCTAAGAGCCACAGCTACATGTCTTTTAAATACCTCCAGGGATGCTGACTCAACCACTTCCCTGGGCAGCCTGTTCCAGTGCTTGATGACCCTTTCAGTGAAGAAATTTTCCCTAATATCCAATCTAAACCTCCCCTGGTGCAACTTTAGGCCCTTTCCTCTTGTCCTATCACTTGCTGCTTGGGAAAAAAGAAGAGAGACATCCCAGTTGCCAACAGTGTAATATTATAGCACTTACTGGAGATACTTATACTCCAACTGTTTGTACTTCCTGATGCAGGGTAAAGGACCTGAACCCATACTCCAGAACCAAATATATTCTTGGCAAGTCTGCCTCAACGTCGCTGAGTATTTAAGCATGAAAATCACTCAATATCACGTACTGCAGCTGCTTTATTTTGTACGAGTATTTAAACATTAACCAGGCATTTCTGAGTGAGAAATAACCCCACTGTGCAGATGTAAGGCATCTCCTAAAAAGTGGAAAGTTAAGATTCAAATATGACCTAAAAATAAGAGAACTGGACCTGTACCACAAGGGAGACTGAGTAATCGGTAAACTATTTGCAAGTATCACACAGTCATCCAGAACAGGGAAAATTCAGGTAGAAGTTCCCGTTCCCTTGGTAGACAACACAGCTTTTAATAACCAAAAAAACCACCCCAAATCACAAACCTGTTTGAATTCCCTCATTGTACAGGAACAGCTTATCTCCGTAGCTGCTGCACTTCTCTGCTCTACTTTTTGAGCAGTCTTCACCTGTTTCATGGACTCCAACAGCCTTTTAAATGCTGAGTTACGTACATCAGCTGTGTACATACACAATACATACAGAACTTTCTGCATTCAAGAGGCAGAAAACACAAGTATTTAGGACTAGTCAGTGATGCCTAGATGATGGACCTGAACCCACTGAAGTCCTTTAAAGACCTGAATGTATGTAGTTATGCTTGTGAAACAGTCTCCAAATAGAACTCTCAAACAATTTGATATTTCAGATGGGAGAATAATGTCATTCTGTTCAAAGAACCTAGCATATTACAGGTGCAATATATTACATTTAGTCTAAGGGAGAAAGCTGATCACTAGTAACAAGATGGCAGCAAACCTCAAGTCAGAGGCAAACACAGAATGAAACACAGCCATAAGAAAGACCACTGTGAATTCAAAAGGAGAAAAACAAAACATTGTCTTAAATGAGCCTCTCTCAAGTGTCCCTTTGTAATTGCACATGAAATGCTTAACTACTAGTATCAACACAACTAAACGATGGCAAAGAGCTGCCAGAACAGAAAAGCAGATCTTTTTTTCAGCAGGAAAGGTTTAGAGACTGCCTGAGGAGAAAGATCTTAGAAATTAATGTTGGCTCACATATAAAAACACTTAATTTTATAGGGAAAAATTACTTGATGCGGCATAATCTTGAAGTAATGGAGTTACAGTAAATACGACAGAATTTAGCAGGCACAAACAGAACATACTTTGAGACACAGATTCATTTTACTATAAACCAGGTGTACGCGCGAGGTCAGTGCTTTGTGTGGCTGATCTCCAGTAAATTACAGGAAAAAAAACCTGACGGGGATTTTAAAGGTATTTTGAGTTTTACATGCTGCAACGTAACACCTTCCTCTGAAACTCAGTTGTGAAACAACCATAAGAAGTCACACGAAGTTATCAGGCTACGATTTATGATTTTTTTCTCTATTAGGTACAATAAATATTTCAAAGATCATTTTTTTTCAGGTATATAAACTCTCAGACCTCCAGCACTAAACACAGCTCAGGTCAGCAGCCTGCGGCAAGGACAGGCAGGCCGCAGACGGCGGACCCGCACACG